CGCCAGGAAATCAGGAGATGCTTACTTCTTGGGAGGAGAGTAAAGACCAATCTCAATATATTAGTGATGAGTAGAGACATCACACTGGCAACAAGGATCTGCATAGTTAAAGCAATGGCATTCCCCGTAGTAACCTACGGATTTGAGAGCTGGACCATAAGGATGGCTGAGCGAAGAAAGATAGATGCTTTTGAACTGTGGGGCTGGAGGAAAGTTCTGAGAGTGCCTTGGACTGCGAGAAGATCCAACCAGTCCATCCTCCAGAAATAAAGCCCGACTGCTCACTGGAGGGAAAGATACTAGAGACAAAGTTGAAGTACTTTGGCCACATCATGAGGAGACAGGAAAGCCTAGAGAAGACAATGATGCTGGGGAAAGTGGAAGGCAAAAGGAAGAGGGGCCGACCAAGGGCAAGATGGATGGATGGCATCCTTGAAGTGACTGGACTGACCTTGAAGGAGCTGGGGGTGGTGACGGCCGACAGGGAGCTCTGGGGTGGGCTGGTCCATGAGGTCACGAAGAGTCGGAGACGACTGAACGAATGAACAACAACAACATTATTATTATTATTATTATTATTATTATTATTATTATTATACAGGCACTTCCCAAATTAGACATGTGACTTACAAACAACCCATAATTAAGGACAGGGGTGAGACAACAGGAAGAGGGAGAAATCTACCCCTCAGAAGGGAAATTCACTCCTGAAAGAGTTTTCATGGGGAAAAGGTGCCTCAATTCAAGCTTTATCACCAATCCTTGTTTCCGCAACAAGACAAATGCTTCAAAATCCAATTATCACAGTTACAGAAAGGAAGGGGGGAATCTTCTGAACAGGGACACAGACAGCAAAATATATACCACAGGGGTGTTAACTCTTCCTTATGATATATGTGTGTTTGGCTGGAGATACACTTAAAAATGTTCCTCTTCCAACTTACATAAAATTCATCTTAAGAACAAACCTACAGAACCTGTTTTGTTCATAACTTAGGGACTATGTGTACATCATTAGTACGAATTTAGGGATATTTGATTGCTCTATAAATTAATACGATTTTCTTGCTCAATTGCTAGCCCCTATTTGATAAAACTAAACAAACCCATAGCTGAAAAGTAAGCTGCGGCTGTATAAATTCCATTGATTCCATAGGGATATTCTCCTCGGGGCCAGCAATTGGATCAAGGCATTTTAAAGTCATTTTTTCACTGCTGTGTAATTTAGGCTTCACTCCAGGAAAGCAGATATCGATCCTGCCTGGGTTCACTGTTAGAAAGGAGGATGACGAAAGCCACATTAAGGAGAGGTGTATCTCAGCAACAGCGTCTCTTACCTTGGCTTTCGATTTGAAAAAGGACTTTGCAAAGAGCTGCACTGGAAGGTGAGAGCTAATAATACGTGGCGACTTGCTGGTCTGAGCTATCCGGTATCCCAGCACTGTCTCAAACCAGGGCCCCCGGTCCCAGTTGGGGACTGTTCGGCACCAGTTGGGGTCACCGTTGTTTCGGATCAGACTTAAAATCTCCAGCATCCACACAGTACCTAAAGGAGAGCACACAAACACAATACATCAAGCAGAAGTAGGTTTGTAAAATCTGGGCCCCAACATGCATATATTCTACTAGTGTGTGCATGTGTGTATACATACTAATGCATATATATAATAAAGTAAACATTTCCCATGACATTAAGTCTAGTAATGTCTGACTCTGGGGGGTGGTGTTCATCTTCTGGTGGGGCCCTGCTCTCAGTCCCACCACTTTCGCAATCGCGTCTGGCGGGAATGAGAGACAGGGCCTTTTCTGTGGTGGCCCCTCAGCTATGGAACTCTCTCCCAGTGAGTGAGCAAAACCGCCAATGCAAAGAGGAAGGAGGTGGGTGTGGGAAAGAACAGCTGTTCTTGAAGGCCACTGGGAGCATGGCCTTCAGGAACAGCTGTTCTTAGCCACGCCCACCTCCTCCCTCTGCCATCCATCGCTGTTCGCAGTCTCCCAGGGAAGGGAAACTGCGAGATTAGTTTTAAAATCTCGCAGTTTCCCTTCCCTGGGTGACTGCGAACGGCGATTGATGGCAGAGGAATGAGGTGGGCGTGGCTACACCCAGCTCTTCTTGACGGCCACTGGAGGCGTGGCCTTCAGGAAGAGCTGGGCTTACCCACGCCCACCTCGCCCTTCCGCATTGCCGCTTGTCGCCAGGGAGGCCAGGGAAACTGCGAGATTTTAAACTAACAGGGGGGAGGGGCACCTTCCATTAACGAAATAAACAAAGCTATTCAGATTTTTGCTATTTCCAATCTTTTTTTCAAGAAAAGTTCAGAAATAATTTTAAAATCGAAACYCCAGCYCCCCCTATATACAAAACGAGTTTAGAACCATTTTTTTTCTTGATCAACCAAGCCTAGTGGCCAGCATGACTGCATGGAGCGCCGTTACCTTCCTGCAGGAGTGGTACCTGTTGATCTACTCACATTTGCACATTTTGAACTGCTAGTTTGGCCGAAGCTGGGTTTAACAACAGGAGCTCATCCTGTCCCATGGATATGAACTGCTGACCTTCCGGTCAGCAATTTCTGCAACTTAGCGATTTGGCATGCTGCGCCACCGTGCCCGCGTTGTTGCAAATATGTTTCCCCTATTCCTATTTTTGTATGTGATTTTGCCAAATATTAACCTACTTCTTGGGCAATATCTCCAAGCCTTGCCATTTCCACCAAACAGGAAGAGCTTCAGGGAGAGCTGTTCTTAGCCACGCCCACCTCATTCCCCTGCCATCCATGGCCATTCACAGTCGCCAAGGGAAGGGAAACTGCAAATGGCGATGGATGGCAGGGGAATGAAGTGGGCGTGGCTACATCCAACTCTTCTTGACGGCCACTGGGGCGCCCACCTCGTCCTTCTGCATCGCCGCTTGTCGCCAGGGAGGCCAGGGAAACTGCAAGATTGTAAAACTTGCACCAGACATCCGAAAATAATTCCGAAAAATGGGTAAATTGTTTCAATTCGTAATTACTCCTCACACTATTCCAGCATGGCTCAAAATTGTTTCAAAAGTCAATTTAATATGAATTTATTCTGATTTTAGAAGCTTCTGAACAAAATCGACCAAGCCTACTGGCCACATGACCTTGGAAGTGTCTACAGACAACGCCAGCCCTTTGGCTTAGAAATGGAGATGAGCACCACACCCCAGAGTCGGACTCGGCTAGACTTAATGTCTAGCCGAGTCCTTTCCTATCTGTAACAACAAAGGAATTATCATATGAGTTTTTAAAGAATCGAAAACTTGTGAAAAATTGAATGAAACTTAAGGGTAAAAAATAGAAACTGAGGATGTAATAGATATTCAGCAAATATGCATACCCAAGAAGTAACCCATTTCCCATCCAACAAAATAATTTCCTCAGATGTGACTCCTAGAGCAAGCACGCTTGCAAATTAAACCTCTTTATTTATCTTCTATTTAATGACTAATCACAAAACAAAGAGCACAAAATGCAAAGCAAGGGAAAGCATGAGCTATGGCAAACAGACAACTTTCACTATTGTTATAAGAACTGACTATAGTCTTGAGTCCAAAGAAAATCAGAACTAACAGGTTTGTTATGTACAATATACCCAAGTTTATTTTAATCTACCCAACCCATGGAGCTTCAGGAATCGTCTACCTGATTTCTGGTAAGTAACATTGAAAATATCATCATCTCGGACTTGGAAATTGTTTTCCACCATCTGCAGCACCTGTTCAGAGTAGATTATTTGAGGGAAGCTGATGCCCTTATACTGGAAATATTCCTTGAACATCCTGGAAACCAGCAGGTAATGAGAAGGGCATTAACTGACGGTTGAAAAGTTGGACCCAAATAAATGCCTTCTGTGTTGGGGAAATGCGAACGGATCCTCTGAAAAGCAGAAAAGATTAAGGGGACGATTAAATGTGACTGTAAGAAGATACACCACTCTGGGGTTGTAATGGATTTAAACTGCATAAATGAGGATTAGAATCCTAATCATACAGATTACATTCACTTACCTACTACAACACACTTGGTTTTCTGTTTCAGCTTTGGCAAGGAAAATCCTACAATTTTGTTATCTTGAGATCAACATAAAGGCCCTTAACAATAATAATAGTAATAACACTTTATTTATATTCCTTTCTGTCTCTCCCAAGGGGACTCAGAGTGGATGACAACATACACAAATAGGCAAACATTCACTGTCTTTAATACAGTGAAATAACAGTGACACACAAATACACAGAACAAAGGTAAAGGCTTCCCCTTCCATCGCCAGCTTCTGGAGGTGGCCATGGGGAGGTGCTCTTTTTCCATTTCCAAGCCGAGGAGCCTGTTGTCCGTAGACATTCCTGGACATGTTGCCGGAATGGCTGCATGGGCGCCTTTATTATCTTCCCACTGAAGTGGTACCTATTGATTTACTCGCATTTGCATGTTTCCAAACTGCTAGGTTGGCAGGAGCTAGGGCTAACAGCAGGAGGTCACCACGATCCGCAGCTTTGAATTGCCAACTTTCAGGTCAGCAGATTCAGCAGCTCAAGGGTTTAACCCATTGTGCCAACCACGGACCCTAACAAACACTAACCTAGTGGTTCTGAACATTTCTAATGCCGCAATCCCTTAATACATGAGTTCCTCATGTTGTGGTGACCCCAAAGCATAAAATTATTTTCATTGCTACTTCATAACTGTAATTTTGCTACTGTTATGAATTGTAATGTAAATATCTCATATGCAAGATGTATTTTCATTCACTGGACCAAATTTGACACAATTACGCAATATGCCCAAATTTGAATACTCGTGGGGTTGGGGGAATTGATTTTTGGAGTTGTAGTTCATCTACATCCAGAGAGCACTGTGGACTCAAACAATGATGGATGCAGTCCAAACTTAGCACAAATATTCAATACGCCCAAATGTGAGCTCTTTTGAAAAATAGTCATTGACATTTGGGAGTTGTAGTTGCTGGGGTTTATAGTTCACCTACAATCAAAATCCCAGAAACTACAACTCCCAAATGTCAAGGTCTATTTTCCCCCAAAACCTCCAGTTTTCACATTTGGGCATATTGAGTATTCGTGCCAAGTTTGGTCCAGATCCATCATTGTTTCAGTCCACAGTGCTCTCTGGATGTAGATGAACTACAACTCCAAAACTCAAGGTCAATGCCCACCAAACCCTTCCAGTATTTTCTGTTGGTCATGGGAGTTCTGTGTGCCAGAATTGGTTGAATTTCATTGTTGGTGGAGTTCAGAATGCTATTTAAAAGGAGTACGTCCCAAAGAAAAAGAAAACCAAGAAGGCAAAATGGTTGTCTGCTGAGACACTGTAAGTAGCCCAAGAAAGGAGGAAAGCAAAAGGAAACAGGGATAAGGGGAGATATGCCCAGTTAAATGCGCAATTCCAGAGGTTAGCCAGAAGAGATAAGGAACTATTTTTAAATACGCAATGCATGGAAGTGGAAGAAGACAACAGAATAGGAAGGACAAGAGACCTCTTCCAGAAAATTAGAAACATTGGAGGTAAATTTCAGGCAAAAATTAGTATGATAAGAAACAAAGATGGCAGGGACCTAACAGAAGCTGAAGAGATCAAGAGAAGGTGGCGAGACTATACAGAAGATCTGTATAGGAAGGATAATAATATCGAGGATAGTTTTGACGGTGTGGTGAATGAATTAGAACCAGACATCCTGAGGAGTGAGGTTGAATGGGCCTTAAGAAGCATTGCTACAACAAGGCAGCAGGAGACGACGGGATCCCAGCTGAACTGTTAAAAATCTTAAAAGATGATGCTGTCAAGGTGATGCATGCCATATGCCAGCAAATATGGAAAACACAAGAATGGCCATCAGACTGGAAAAAATCAACTTATATCCCCATACCAAAAAAGGGAAATGCGAAAGACTGCTCAAGCTTCCGTACAGTGGCCCTTATTTCTCATGCCAGTAAGGTAATGCTCAAGATCCTGCAAGGAAGACTCCAGCAATACATGGAGCGAGAGTTGCCAGATGTTCAAGCTGGGTTTAGAAAAGGCAGAGGAACGAGAGACCAGATTGCCAATATCCGCTGGATAATGGAGAAAGGCAGGGAGTTTCAGAAAAACATCTACTTCTGCTTCATTGATTATTCTAAAGCCTTTGACTGTGTGGATCATAATAAATTGTGGCAAGTTCTTAGTGGGATGGGCATCCCAAGCCACCTTGTCTCTCTCCTGAGGAATCTGTACAAGGACCAAGTAGCAACAGTAAGAACTGACCACGGAACAACAGACTGGTTCAAGATTGGGAAAGGCGTACGGCAAGGCTGCATACTCTCACCCAACCTTTTTAACTTGTATGCAGAACACATCGTGCGATGTGCGGGGCTGGATGAATGCAAAGCTGGGGTGAAAATTGCTGGAAGAAACATTAACAACCTCAGATATGCAGATGACACCACTCTGATGGCCTAAAGCGAGGAGGAGCTGAGGAGCCTTCTAATCAAGGTGAAAGAAGAAAGCGCAAAAGCCGGGTTGCAGCTAAACGTCAAAAAAACCAAGATTATGGCAACAAGAATGATTGACAACTGGGAAATAGAGGGAGAACCCGTGGAGGCCGTGACAGACTTTGTATTTCTAGGGGCAAAGATTACTGCAGATGCAGACTGTGGCCAGGAAATCAGAAGACGCTTACTTCTTGGGAGGAGAGCAATGTCCAATCTCGATAAAATAGTAAAGAGTAGAGACATCAGACTGGCAACAAAGATCCACCTAGTCAAAGCCATGGTATTCCCTGTAGTAACCTACGGATGTGAGAGCTGGACCTTAGGGAAGGCTGAGCGAAGGAAGATCGATGCTTTTGAGCTGTGGTGTTGGAGGAAAGTGCTGAGAGTGCCTTGGACTGCGAGAAGATCCAACCAGTCCATCCTCCAGGAAATAAAGCCCGACTGCTCACTGGAGGGAAAGTTGAAGTACTTTGGTCACATCATGAGGAGACAGGAAAGCCTAGAGAAGACAATTATGCTGGGGAAGGTGGAAGGCAAAAGGAAGAGGGGCCGACCAAGGGCAAGATGGATGGATGGCATCCTTGAAGTGACTGGACTGACCTTGAAGGAGCTGGGGGTGGTGACGGCCGACAGGGAGCTCTGGCGTGGGCTGGTCCATGAGGTCACGAAGAGTCGGAGACGACTGAACGAATGAACAACAACAACAACATAAAGCAACCACAAATTCCAAGTGGCAAAACCAACACACACACCCCAATCCCACCAGTATTCAAATTTGGGCATATCAGGTATTTGTGCCAAATTTGGTCCAGTGAATGAAAATACATCCTGCTGCATATCAGATATTTACATGAACACCTCTCTTAGGAATCTGTATGCGCAATTCTGTGATCAAATTTTAGTGGAAATCAAAGAGGACTCTGAAGTTCCTACGTAGAGGGGTGTTGTAGGCAGTTAAAAAAGGAATAACATTTTACTTAAATCAGACAAATGCTACATTCAGCGAAGGACGAGGGATCCTCTCACCTCTGCAGGAGTCTACATATACCATGCAGGTGTGGACAAGTCTATATAGGGACCACCAAATGCAACATTGCCCTAATACGAATCAAGGAACATGAAAGGCACTGCAGACTAAATCAGCCAGAGAAGTCAGTCATAGCAGAGCATCTGATGAACCAACCAGGACACAGCATATTATTTGACAACACAGAAGTGCTGGACCACTCTAACAACTACCATGTTAGACTACACAGAGAAGCCATTGAAATCCACAAGTATGTGGACAATTTCAATAGAAAAGAGGAAAACCATGAAAATGAACAAAATCTTGCTACCATTATAAAAAAAAACTGCAAAATCAGGACAGTAAATAAAGAGCAACACTCAAAAAGCAGCGGAATTCCAGACAAGAATCAATCAGGGCCACTAACACCTCTAAACAAAGGATTCCCCCAGGCAGGAAGCAGCCAGGCTTTGAAGCGACCATTCAAGGCTTATCAAGGTGGTCAAATGCAACACACTTGCCTCAAGCAGACAAGAGTTTTCTCTTCCACACTGGACATTCCACAGATATTTAAACCTCACTTGCCTTGTTTCCAACAAACCTCACGACCGCTGAGGATGCCTGCTATTGATATGGGCGAAACGTCAGGAGAGAATGCTTCTGGAACATGGCCATACAGCCCGGAAAATTCACAGCAACCCAACTTTTACTTAGTTTTTTACTTTCATGGGAATCCTATTCCTTTCACCCCAGCAAATGTGAACGGCTAAGTTTAAATTGCAATTTAAGGCTTCCAATTACATAGAGCCGTGTGGGAGTTTTTCCCTCTTCCGTCGACAGAGACACAGCAAAAGCTTGAGAATATATGTTTCAAAAGGCTTTGCATCTGTCGTAAACACAAGATAAGGGCTGGCAAGTTGATAAGGTACTCACAAGAATTCTTTATTCTTTTCATACAACAGATAGATCTAACGGACTCTCAGCTCCACTCCCCTTTTTATTATCCCTCTTCCCTTCCAAAAGTAATCCACATGGTCCTTGCCATACCGGTGGGAATATACTGCCAATCCCAACGATTGTTGAATCTCTCTCTTAGTTCAAGGTCTGGGACATTGAACTACTTGATAAAAACATTTCGGGCACTGGTCTAAATCAACCCCCCCCCCCCCCTACAATGTAAGCTAAGTAGGGCAACTCAGTTTGAACCACTTTACATTTCCTTGCAATTAGCTGTGAGACCAGTGTGCTATCACATGCTGGGCCTGAAATAATGTCTGTTTACAGGACGTGCCTTCTGTATTCCCAACGGGACGCCGGGGTGCCTCAGCTGAAGGGCCCCTTAGATTTCCCAACACAAATTTCTATTGAGGCTCAAAATAAGTTCAACA